CTTTTTTTAATTGGAAAAATTGTAATGCTTTAGATTATTATTAAAACTCCTGTCTTCTTGCACTAAAGATTTCGAGTTGAGAATTGCGTGAGGTATGAGTCTTTTTAAGTATCCGGGAGGGACCTGCTTCCCTTTGCCAGGCATATTCGATGCGAATCTGAAATTTTAGTACGGGTTTAGTAGAACTTCAAACACCACATTCTTAAAAGAACCAAGAAAGAAAATACATATTAAAGATCTGAAGCATTACATCATACGATAATGAATGGAGAGCTAAGAAGTCACTCCATAAAAAACCAAACAAGAACCAGCTGCTTCCTACTAACAAAGAAGCTATCTGGTTTGCTAATTTTTCAACAAAAATAAAGGACATAGAACTCTTTCAAGCAAGAGTTTTGACAATCATGGATAAACTAAGCTAAATAGAAACAATCAACAATAAATTCTTCAACTCCTATATGGCTCATCAAACAATCTCACTTTCAATAGAAAAGAGGAACTTGGTAATCTTTTTTTCCTTTAACCATCGGTAAGAAGACCTCTGCTGATCACTCCCAAAAACTTTGCTGTAAGAAGTTGGAAAATGCCCAGATGTTTCATACACCACCCGCACTGAACCAGCATGGTCTCTTACCACATCCAACCCGCTCTAGCTGACTTTGATTGAAATATAAAAATGAATGCATCTATATTAAATTAACTGACTAGCGATGAAGGCTTCCATTTCAACAGCTTCATAGAAACCAGTTGTTTCTTGTTTCTGGATTCGAACGTTCATAAATTGAGTAGCCTGCGACACTGCATGCAAAAGAGTTGGCCCCTGGGTCTTTTTTTATTAAAGATTACATTATTTCGCATATTCCCAAATTTTTCTCAACCCAAGGCAATTGCTTCAAAACAGATTCTATAGTACATCTGTCCTTATTCTTTTGGAACCAATCAAGAATGGAAAGTCATAGAACCCACCAGCCTGCATTTGAGTTTTACCTAGTAAATCGTTTTGAAAATACAATCCATCAGACAATGAACAACAGATTCTCTTCAACATACGTACAGGGAAAATGCGTGGACTCATTCTTCTAGACAATAAGACTTCTCGGTGGGTAACTGTACAACAGAGGGCCTGCACATGAATAAGGTTTGTTACTTTGCTGGGTATTTTGAAGACTCCACAAGAATTTTCATTCTGCAGAAGGTACAAAATTGAGATGCATTGCGAAAAGGAGAGCTTGATACACTACGAACATATAATAGACTTTGGACTCCGAATTCCAATTCGCCGAGTCATTAACAGGCCATATAGACTTCAATGGAATCTGCAAAATCAAGTGCAACCTGCTGATAAGCTACAAGTCATGCTAAGAAATCATTATCCCATTTCTTTTTACTCATCATAACACGTTGTATAGCCATTTAGTCATTCCTTTACTGATTAAGAATTTTGGCCTGTCAGTAATCTCCAGCCTTTTAGCCAACATTGCTATATAAAAGCTGATGGATGTGAACACGAAAGTCAATAACACCTCTTCCTTTTCATTTCCGTCACATGATCGTTTAAGAATAGCACAATGAAACACATGTTTTTACAATTAGCATCATTTTTTTCCAACCAAAAACGATTCACGAGCATTTGCAATTGGAGTATAACTTTACATGGTAAAGAAAAACAATCATCACGAAATTAGGAATAGGCATCGACCGGTTTAATGACGCCGGTTCCAGTTCATTGGAACTATCGGTTTTCGGTTTTATTGACGCGGTTTTGAGACTGTTTAAATTTTAAATCGGAATCGACCCTTGAACCTCCGGTTCTGGTCCTGTTCGGTTTCTAGCATGGTTTTCGATGAATCAACAGGTTCGAAATTAACCCGGTTTCCGGTATTAATACAAATTTTTTAAAAATATTTATAAAATTTGATTCTGAATCATAAATAAATAATATTTTAAAAATGTTTAGATTTTATTAACTAAATAAATTATTATAAAATTTTAAAGAAACTTCTATTAATTAGAACTATTATTGACATTTAAATTTATAAATTTTTGCCTTAATTACTAATATAGAAAATTATAATTTTTTTTTTTAGTTCTTGGGCTTGAAGTTAAATAAAATTGAAAAATTTTAATTTAATAATTACCTATGTATATTCCTTGGAATTAGAGGAATCAAGAGCCCCACGTAGTTTTTTTTTTTTTTTATTACAATGGAAAATAACCTCCAAATTATTACATATTAATTTTAGTCATCAGGTGCCATTAGTCCGTTATTGAGCCAGAATCATCCCATCATCGTTGAATTTTGCTGTCCTTAACTTTCAACGCTGCTCTAGTGCAAATCGTCACGCATTTCTTGCATTTTCCACATTATTGGCATAATCTTTGACCGTGTTGGATCTAAATTTCTGTCCACCAGCACTAAAGCTTGTTCTTCCACTGCAAAATAGAATTGGCACAAGAAAGAATATCGTTTACAATTGAAGCTAAGACTGGAAAAGCGATTTGTATGCTTTTTTCACCAACTCAAATGTCAAATTTTGTTGCGTCTTCATCAGTATCATCACCCAAAAACTCCAAATCTGTGCTAATACTATGTCTCAATTTCCGTGTAATATGTGGATCCTCTTTTGGTTTTTTTGAAACTTTTGCATGAAATTTAAATTGTGTAGAATAAAATCTAGTGGATTGTGTAATTTTGGATGTAATTACTTGAGGAGGGAGATATAAATTTAAATACTATCCGTACAAAGTGCCAGACATTACCTTTAAAACATTTTAGTAAGGAGAAAATAATATAGCTTCAATATTAAATTCATAATAAGACAAAAAAATTATTGTAATCAACTAAACTTAAACTAGGACAAAGAAACAATGCAATCTAAATTTAAATTTAGGAATTTCAATATCAATATTTTTTTAACCATTCTAGTTTTCACTCCACTGAATATCATTCTTGTAAATCAATCATTATTTTCATTTTCAATTAAATGGCACTTACTTTATGGCCAACAATGAAATGGAAATAAATGGGAACGTAGGATAAATAAACACCCCCTAAAATCTTGTAACAATTTTCAAAAACTTGAACTTGTAATTATAATATTTTTTTTATAAATGTCAATCGGTTGAGATAAAGTTGAAAATGTGATGCATGCAATTGAATTTTCATTCTCATGGGAATATCTCTTGAAATCTTTTTATATTTTTTTTCCCATTAGGATGAACAAAAATTTTAATTTTTTTTTCTAAAATATTCTAGTGTCACCAATAATTTAAATATTTTTTATGGACGTAAAAATTCATTTAATGTTGTTAATGCATCTTGAACACCTAAATTTAAAATATGAACAATGCACATAAAGTGGTAAAAAAATTTTTCCACCAAAATTTGGATTGACAAATAAGTTTTTAATCTTACTTTAATTGATTACCGTATTTGCAACTAGCATTATAACAAACCAATGTAAAATTTTAGCCAAACTATATTTTTCTAAAATATATTTAACATGATAAAAATATTTATTGGGAGGTGTGAGAGTCATCCAAAAACTCCAAGTGCATTTCTTTTAAAATTTTCCATTTATTGTCAATTTCCACGTGGGAATAACACCATATAACGAATGAGTTTGTGACTGCACTCACAGCCAAAACTTCACAACAAATAAATTTTTTACGCATCAAATTTGTAAATTATATTTTTTTAAAATTTCTTTTTCTTTTCAAATAAACTAGATAAAATTGTCCTTTTAAGTGTATTCCTAGATATCTTTTTTTGTCAAAGATTTAATGTTTTTTTTAACGTAGTTATTAAATCAAATTTTTTCACCAAATGAAAAAGATATCATTCCATACAACCATTTTTCGAGCCAATTTCCAATTTTTATTAGCTTCATTCACTTATTTAAACTAGTGGAGTGTTAAGGATCACATACCTTGATGACAATAACTTGAGGCTTTGAGTTACGATTATTCCTTACCTCACTTGAATGATATGATTATTAAATGCCTATTATGAGTGCCATAGCCTCTCTAAGCTTGAGTGTATTTTTTTTTCTGCAATAATTATATCGAATCGTAAATTGATTTCTCCGTTACTTTACACAATTTTTGCAAAGTGCTTTCTTTGAAAACATATAATTTTACGTGGTTTACCTATTGAAATGTTTAGGCGATGTTACTTCTTGTGATTGAATGAACGAAGAATAATCGTTCCTCAACTAGAGTTTTGATATTGAACTTCATCATATTGTAGTGACAAATCAATTAATGTTCGTTGAATCAATTTATTTTCTACGCTTTGAGTACTCAACTTTCTCTTGGAGGTTTTGTGATATTGTGTGACATGTTTATTAAAATGGAATTAATGGAAAATGAATAAATTCGAATATGAGTTAATGGAATGAGTTGGACCATCTATTATTTCAATGATGAGAAATTATTAAAAAAAAATCAAATGAAGTAAGTTTTAAGAATGGAAAAAATTGAAAATAAAAGGAATTTAAAAATTGGATGTATGAAAATAAAAATAAAAATTTGTTTGTCGCATGGTTTCGAAATCGGACCCGCTTTTAATTTTGGATACCGCTTTAATAAATTTTGGATACGGCTAGTTTTAATTTAATTATCCGTCGACCCCGCTTTGTATTTTTAACGTTTTTCATTATCGTGATTTGGAATCGTTCCATGCACCATTCGTTATAACTATCTCTTACAATAAAATACAGTAAATTTCAATATAAAAATAATTTTTAAGGATAAATTCATCTATTCTTCAGTGTATGAGCCTGCCGATCAGCCGATCAACATGCAACAGTAATTAATTAAGTACTTACTAGTATATAAGAAAAAATCCGTTACAGTTGGTAATATTTTATTAATTATTTTTCCTTAATAAATTGACACAAAATATTTTTCATAATTACTCGGTACCTTATCATTGCGATCTGCAGAACCCATTTAAATAGACTTCGAGAATTGTTAGCTCCCAAAGACCCTGAAAGAGAAAAATGGCGGAGTCAAAGACGATAGGCGTTGTGGGTAGCGCGCCAAATGGGGTCGGGCCATCGCCCAACTGCCGCGCGTACATGGGTTCGATGTCTGGCTTCTAGACACCGGATCCTTTGCTCTGTTAAGAGCTAGAAAATCTATCAACAATAACATAATCGACTCATCTCCAAGGGAACTCTCTCAAGGTCAATCAAGATAAACAACTTTTCTTTTTTGCTGATATTTTTCAACTTTTTTTTTTTGCGGAAATCAAAATATTAATAGTGGAGATTATGAATTTTTTCTTATTGATATGATTGACTGTACCTTGAAGTTCGTAATTTTGAAGCCCTCATCACCAATCTATGGCTTGCTGTGTTTTAAGTAATAATGAGTAAAGGACTCGTAGGATTAGCCAGATGCCAAATTACAGAAGCTCACAAAGTAGGAGGATCATAATTTTCCAGGGTGAAGTTTTTTTAAGTGTCACTTTGAAATTTTCACATGGAGATATATTTCTTTTGCTATGTGTTGATATTTTCCTTTTGTTGAATCTTTTAATCAGACTCCGCCGTGAATTTATTGATAAACAAAAGAACCAATTCAGACGGTTTACACTACTGTTTTGAAGTTCTTATGATGAAAACATGTGAATCTCTGCTTTAAAAGTTTAAACTTTAACTATGTCTGAGCAACATATTTTATCTAATGCTTCTATCACATAGCAATTCAAAGAGTAAAGCAAACAGTTTTACTTAGTGCAAAAAGTTTTGGTATTATCCTACCCTGCTTATAAATATCAATGTCTTTTCTTCTTTCTTGGGCTGGAGGTAAGCATTTATAGCATCCAATGTTACATTTGGACATATTTTTTAAATAAATCTGAAGATCATTGTAGATTGAAATTGTAGAAGGTGCTTTCATGTTCTGGTTATCTATGTTTTCTGTTAAAACGAACCCAAATGCTCGATTATGTGTTTGCATGGTATGAACATTTAGAATGAGTATCGATATATATTGCATAAAGAGATGGCGAACCATGTGTTTGATTGTATTTGAAAGTCTATTATAGTAGTAAATTAAAGACCATTTAGACTTAGCCGTAGTGTAAGATATTGGATTTAACCTATATTAAAATGTTCCATGATGGCTTACCAAATTATCGCCGAAGTTAGACTGAGGAATTTGCCTCTGGAATCAGGGCTTTCATGGAAAGAGGGAGTATTTTCCAATACTTTAGGACAAATTAAGATAGTGGAAACATAATTTTTTGAGCATTCTTCTATTCTAATGATAAATTTTCAAACCTTTTATGCAGTTAAAGTTTTGAGTAAAATTTGTATTAGGAAGATGTTTGATAGGACTGGAGGAATTAACCCATTTTCCTTCAGATTAAGTAATTTTGCAAATAAAGATTTTGAGAAAGTACTCTGTTTCCTTTTCTTGTAAATTCGCAGTGAATGAATGCTAAGATTCCTGGCTTTTCCACTTGATAAAGGCAGGTGGTCACGATGCTTTACGGGGCGTCTAATTATACCACAGATTTGGAAGAGCTGCATATGGCAGATGTTGTTATTGAGCTATTGTGGAATCTGAACGATGTGAAGAAAAGTTCATTTCTTGCACTAGATAAAGATTGTTAAAGTTCTGGCTATTTTTGCTTTCTAATAAGAGTTCCATCTCCATACTGTTCTGGCATCATACAACTAGCCAGACCAGGCATGGCTTATCTTCTTTAATTTCTTTCTTTTTTGGCCTGAATGTTATGCTTGGGTGTCTAATAAACTAAATACAAATTCGGACAATTACAAAGTCTCATATAGTTGCATTCTGATTCAACTGTTAATGAACTCAAGAAATTTCTGGTTTTCTATTTTCATCACTCTTTTTTTTTTAAAACAATTTGGGATTCTGAACTCGTCCAAATCAAGTAATGCATCATCTGCAGCGTAATCGCCATGCATTTTATGAATCTCATCATAATGAAATTGGTCCGATAATTGTGCGTGGTGCGGAGCAATCAGATGAGACACTTTTTAATGCAACCAAGTTCATTGGCTGAGAGGTGTACCAGAAAATACACTCTTTGTGCAATGTAGTTTGCTGTTCAATGAATAATCAGTTTTCTTAGGCATTTATGTGTCTGTAAATCCAAATAATTATTTTATTCAAAACAAAACTATTGAAAATATAATTCGAATACGTGTTTCCATTATGCGAATGGAATGAAAATCTCTTTTTTAGCTTTTTATTAAAAAATTTCTCTTATTTAGATTTTATTGTAATTGTATCCAACCATCTATATACAATCCAATGGCTGTCAAATCTGCAGGCTTGGCAAGACAGTTATATCTCCTCAAGAATTTTTCCGCTTCATTGTAAACGGATTCTAATGCCCAATGATAAATGAGCATTTTCATACTCTGTAATACAGGAAGTGGCAACGAAGGAGGATATTGAACACTGGAATGAAAGTTAGGCACAAACCACCGATGGGTCTTTGGGAGCTTGCAGATTTACATTGGAATTGGATGTCTGCCCTGTCAATAATGAAAAGTTCGTTCATGCTGGTTTAGGCGACAGTAATAGTGCTCCTGTCCTTTCCTTGTGCAGTATGTGCATGCAGGTCGGTCTTGGACGAAAATGTGGTATTGGGGTATATGATTATGGTAGAGCATCTGCACAATAATACCATCGTTTTCTCGGCTTTGGAAATTAGATTGCTTTTTCCAAAACTGGGGGCTATATTTGCATTCTTTGTCATCGATGTTGCTCACCTTGGGAGGCATTCTGTAAACAAGATTAAGTAATCAGTTTGCCTCGGGAGACACTCCTCATAAATTGAGAAATAATCTGTACTAAAAGAAAGATTGGTGCTTGAAGGGATAATTTTTTGCTAGAATTTATTCTGGTTCAAAGTTTTTTTGGGGGTTTTTTTGATGCTTAACTTTTGAATGTAATGATCGAATCTTATAGTAGTAAATGGTGGATGATAACAGCAGTCCTTTTCAAATTATTGGGAGCATGTGGTGTGGGGTGTACTGTGCCCTTTGAAATCAAACGAAGCTACAAAATCGCAATAGTAACATGATTAGAGACTTTGTTTAGGGGTAAGTGAATCTCCAACATCAATCTCTTCAAAAACCAGCTCCTTTTACGGGCAATAGCAATAGTGACAGTGCCATTCTTATAACGATTGAAATTCACATGCTTTCATTTTCCTTTTCTTTGGGTTAACATTTAAAGCAAAGTCAAATAATATAGAAAATAGATAATCATCAGCCATCTTGCTTGCCAAGAAAAAAAAAAAAAGGAATTGCCGAAAATCTGACACCAATTATTATGGATTAAAACTTCTCAATGATTGAAATTAAACCTTAAGGTTTATTAAATGAGGCAATTCAAGTTAACTGTAAAGATTTGAGAGTTAAAGAGTTTGGTTTATTGAAACATGAAGTTTAGAGACATTTAGTTATGTTTTAGATAATTATTGATCAAAAGAAAGGAAAAAACAAGAATTTGCGAGGGAAATTTCTGTTATGTTATGTATTGCTTGCCAGCTGGGAATCTTTAATGTGAGACAAAGAAATCAAAAAGGGAAGCCTCTAATTTCAAAAAGTGACCAACATGAACCCACAAAGAAGCGCCGATTAAGAGTAATTTAAGTTCATTTGTTTTCTCATATCCACCCACCACCATTCCTCAATTCTAAAGCCTGGCAATTATTACGCAATGCATTTTCTATATTTTGACAAGTGATGAATTGCGATCCATGGATTATTAAAAATTAAAACAAATGAACAACATTATTTGTAAGAAATCAAAAAAAACAGGTATAGATCAAAACCAAAATAAAAGAAACAAAAAGAAGATAAAAGGCATAGGAAGCCTTAAAACTTTCCCTATTTACAAGGTAGACTTGAGAGTTGAGAGTAATAGAGAGAGAGAGAGAGAGAAGAGAGCAGGGTTAAGCATGAAGTTCTTGTTTCAGTGCTCCTTGTTGCTCATGTTTTTGCTTTGTGAAGCCAAGAAGGGAAAACCAAAGCGAAGGAAGCTAAAGTAGACGGACTCCCAAGGAAGATGAAAAAAGAGTGATAAAAAATGCAAATGCTGCATTGCTGATGCAAAATGGGTATTTGGGTGGCCAAGTATGTTTGTTAGTACAATTTTTTCTTTCTATTTCATGTGAAATGCTTCCATCTTTATTGCTTTCCATGGGAAAATAAGGTGTCACATTATTTATTTTACAAATCTCATAAATGTATGAGATATCAAGTATATCTAGTCTTCTGCTTATTTTAGCTTCAAAGCTTGCATTAAGTATCCCGGGGTTTTCAAAATTTTGGTCCTCTTGCCCCTATAGTGGAAATTTGTGAATGACCTATCTATGAGGATTGAAGCATTCTAAACTTGCCTTTGCCCTCCCCTTTTTTTTTTTTTTTTTGGTACAGAAGGGGATGGCTTTGCACTTGTTTATTAATTGATTTGGTTTATTTTGGGATTTGAACTCATAAATTCATAGCTTTTTTACAATTTTAATAATTAAAACTTAAAGATCCAATCATCTTATTTTATGTGATTTTAACATTGGTTTTATCAATTATTTCTTACAAATTTTCTAATTCTATTAGCTGCAAAAACCTACTAAAATGTTAGTAACTCTAATTGATTGCTGATGAAGACCAGTGCTTGTTCAAGCACAAAATGGAAAGGCATCAATTCTGTTTAATTTAGATCTGCTAATTCTGATGAAATATGCCAATTAGGTGTGGTAGTGGGAGGTCTCGAGTTCGAGTTCTCTCGACCACAAGTGTTTTCTCTAACTTGGTGAGTGTTATATCGGTCTCTTAAGCCTCCCAGTGAAATAAAACAAAATTGTGATGAAATGTCAACATCAAATTATAAATAGAATTATAATTGAAAATAATTTCGATTTGAGTTTCAAAAATTAATGTGTCTCATTTGATAGGGAAGGTTGCTTTGCAAAACAAAATGTGATAAGAGATTAAAATGAAAGGTTTCTCTGGAGTTCAAATTAGCAAAAACAATGTCTTCTTGCATAACATAGATTCTAAACATTTATAATTTAGACGTAAATGAGTCTAATTACTTTTATCTCTCAATTTTATTAATGAATACTAGTTTCTGTGGCTCTTACTCTCTCTCTCGAGTGGGCGCACGCAATAGAAATCACAAACTGTCATTCCATATTGATTTGAGATAAAATCATTATTTTAAATATAAGACTTCGACAATTTCCTATTGATCTAGCTTTTAAAATTGGAGCTAGAACCGCTCTATTTTATAATATGGTATCAGAACCTACCTACTTCGAGAGGGAATACTCTCACTTAATAGCACTAAATGGAAATTTTTATTAAATTACAATAGGGTTTTCTTCATCTCTTATAGAAATTCTTTGAGTCCATTTTGCTCTGATTGTGATCAACGATAGAGTAGCAGTTTGGCAAAAGAGACCACAGATTAAGCCAATCCATAAACCCTGCACCAAATTGAAGAGAGCATATAACTTAAATAAAAATGTTGTCTCTAGCTGTACAAAGAAACAAGTTTGTAGATTACCTTTGACATAAAGCTTCAACTTAAAACCAAGAACACAAGAGATAGGCATGCCAATGAAATAAAATGTTGCCAGGTTACCATACGCAGCTAAGTGCTGCCAACCACATCCTCTCGCCACTCCTGCATGCACCATCAACGTTTAAGTTTCACTTACCAAGATTTTCTTTAATTAACAATACATAAATTTTCTTTAATTAATAAATTATTTTTTTGAGAAGTTTACTTGATAAATCATTGAATTTGGATTAATGTAGTATGTATATATCAATCATACCTCAATTTTTTTTTCTCTTCCCCTCTTCTCCTTTTTCCCATACTCTTCTTGATATATTTTTCGATAAAAATATTCAAAATAAATATCATAATGCTTTATATTGTTATTATTTTTTGATGGCATTTTAGAATTCGCATCATATATTATTTATTATTGTTAATATCATAATGCTTTATAGTTACCCAATTTTTAAAAATATATATCTTTAATAAAATATTAAAATGCTGATTATATTCTTAAAGAATCATTTTACTTTTAAATTTCTTTATTATTCAAATTGGGTATGAAATTACTAAGTTTACAACTTCATTAAGACTATGACTAATATAGTCCAAACTATTAATTAGTGTTAAAATAATCTTTAATATACTTTTTGAATAAAATTATTAATTTTCTAATTTAATAAGAAAATATAGATTATTAAATTCTATATCATAATTAAGCAAAAGGGAAATAATAATCAAATATAAAAGATAAATGAAATAGTAGCATTTGTCTTATTTTTCTTATTTTACAAAAATATTTCAATTAAACATTTAGTATTCATAAAAAATCTACCATTTGGATAATTGACTTTCTTTAAAATTTAAATGACATTAAAGTTCGACACTTTGTCCATATGCAAACACAAGAGTCTAATTAGCACAAGTAGGAAAATACTTGCGTACACCTAACGTTGAAACTATCCATGCACCAAAATAATTGTTGATTTTCATTTTGAAAAATTAGTTTAATTTTTTACTAATGTTTTTTTTTCTCAATGAAAAGAAAATAATATTCTCGTTTACATTAAATAACTTTATAGCATTGACTTAATATATTGACTTAGTATATGAGTGATCTGTACACCTGCTAAGTCATTCTCAAATGGGTAAATTCAAACCTGATAAGACGCCTTGAATGGAATCAAATTTGATAGAAACTGCAAGAAATGATGCCATTGAAGCAAATTCCTTTATTATTGCATGGCTGTCACTAAACAAAGCAGCCCAAACATTGTGACCAAATGCTAGAGCCAAAACAACTATGAGGGCAAGAGAGAGAGAGAGCTTGAGAGTCACAGCCATGGCTCCTTTAGCTCTGTTCGGATTGCCTGCTCCTAATTCATTAGAAACTCTTGTGCTGTCACAACAAAACATTAATTTAACTTGACATATAATAAAAAAACATGGGATTTTAACAAATAATATATCAGCTAACCTTGCAGCAGCACTGAGACCATAGGTTAACATGTAGGCTATAGTTTCTGTATTTACACTGGATATGAAAACCAGACAATTTAAAATAATTAGTAAATGACTAGAATTCGAGCAAACTAAATTGGACGCCCTTTAGTCATGGTCATACACATGTTGCATAGACTATGGGAGGAGTCAGCTTTCTTAATAAAGGGCTATTTTTTTTTACCTCATGTAAATTGTGCGCAATTAATTTAAATATTAGAATAATTAATCATACAAATATATTTCAAAAATAATATTATTTGAAAGAAATATATACTAATTATTTATTGATATCAAAATAAAACAAGTCTCAATAACTTTTAAAAAATATAATACATCTAATAAAAATTAAGAATGAGAATCTACCAAAACAGAAACATGTTCTTATTTTTTTCAAGAATCATTTTTCATGTTGAACATATATTTTTATTCAAGTTTTCTTATACAAATCTAGAAATAAAAAACATTCAATAATTTTCTAATCAAGAAATTTACAAATTTAATTAAGAATATTTTCAATTTCATAAAAAATAATAAATATCACGTAGTGTATTTTTTATTGACATTTTAAATTGAATAAATAAACATAATTATTTTAATTTAAAAAATCAATAGCAGAAGGCAACTTTAAAATCGTATAGACTTAGGGGCCACAGCCAGCTGTCCTCTTGGTGCTCCGCCACTAGTGTAGACCACAAAGAAAGACTATGTATCATGTAAGATAATGAAACAGTTCTTTTATTAAACTTTGTTAATTTAACATTTGCTTATTAAGTTTATAAATTATTCTTAAATTTAAACAAGAAATTCAAACATATATATATTTTTTTTAATAAAGGAATTCAAACATAATTAAATTTTATAGAAATTTTAAAAGGAAATATTTTTGGAAATATGAATTTGTTAATGAATTCTTGAAATTCATGAGCAGAGGGTTGAGTTACATAAAAGCAAAGCCAGTGACGATAGCCCAAGAATTGGCAAGGGAGGCCGGCGAACATGACGGAAACCAAAGGTATTAAGTAATAGAAAACATTAGTAAGAATCATAGGCAAAGAAAACAAGATTTGAGTTTTGGACTCTTTCACATCTGACACCTTATTGTACCACCGCCACCACCGCCTTCCCCTGCTTTCCTCTTGATCTCCACCGATACTATTTGCTTCCGCCGCTTGTACAGAATCTGAACTAGCGTTTGGCAGAGCTTTGATCTCCTCATTCGTTGGCCGTTTCTTGTCCATGTTGTTTAGTTACTTTGTAATATTTCTTGATTTTGCGGCGAAGATGATGTTAATGATATCCCAACTTGTTTTAGCGGTCGTCACCTCCCTGAACGAGATGGTTGTTTTTTAGAAGAAAATCAATGTTTAATCTACAGATGAAAAAGAACAGAGTAAATAACAAATTATTCCGATTTGAAATGAGCAAATTCTTGTCACATTGGAGTAAACTAAATAACAAACTACTCCTATTTAGTATAAACCTTAGAAAGGAGATGCTTGCACGTGTCTCCATATTTTGAGTAACAAGTAAATTTTTTTTATAGATACTAAACATTTACAATTCTTTATCAATTATTCTCTCGGTTCTATTTATCAAGAGAAAATTTTGTTTTTGAACGTTCTTTTTACATAGAGAAATTTTCCTAATATGGTAATTTTGGGACTAATGCCAAAGTAAAAAGTCTAATATGCCTTTGCTTTGGTTTATAGATTAAATATTGACTTTGGGAGTATTTCAAAAAAGTAACATATATTATTGTAGTTGGTTTTCAATATTCAAAAATTGACTGAACCGTGCATTAAGAAAATGCGAGATTCAAACACATTATATGCACAGATTAATTTCACCAAGAATCTTTGCCTTAACATTTAACTGTCCACATATAGTGAAATTTACTCACAACTCTAATAAATCCTAAACGAAGCAAAATTTCCTCTAAATGATTGTGCTTAAATAAAAATAGTTATGCCCATTTATAATTACTCTAATAAAATCCTTAAATGGCTAAAGAGAGAGTTACAAAATTTAAACCCTAATTTCATTACTTAAATAAAAATAGTTGTGTGCAATTTTTGCATTATGTTAAATTCTATAATTGCCTTAGTGGATATAGATAAAATGTCTACAACTTTATGAATACTGCAAGCATTTTACTCACCTTTTTCAATTTCAGAACATAGTTACATACAAACTATATTTTTCACATTTTCAATGTTTTTCCTTTTATTGCATTTTTGAGTCTTTTTTGGAATGTTAATTGGTAGTGGTATGGTTTCAGATTCTATAGAAGGCGGTTGTTCAATGGATGACAAAGAGATCAAGTCTAAGGATTGATTGTTGAGTACGGGCACATCTTCTGAAGTTGCAAGCAAGTTTTGAGGGACTGTATTCAAATCAAAGGAAGAACGTACTGTGTCCATGGCGTTTGTGGATTAAATTTTAGAGTTGTGAACTTATCTCTATTTAAATGAATTCAACTTTGAAAATTTTGGCTCAAAATTTTATTTTTTTATGCGTAAATTTGGAGAAGAAAAACAAAGAATTTAAGATTGAAAATTTTGGTTCCAAATGTTCTTTCAATTTTTATGCCAATTTTTTCAATCCAAATTTGATATTGAAATTTTAGGGCACAATTGCGATTAGACAATCCACGTTTTTTATTATTGGAAGTCTAAATAAATAAAACGCCTTATTTAAGTAACAGATCCTCTCTCTCATTATGTATTACCTTTTATTGAAAATTGGGAACCACTTTAATATCTTTTCAGAGGTAAATTAGGAAGAAATCCACAAAAAGATCACCCTCATTAATCCTAGAAAAATTTTGACTTTGTCTGTATAAATAGAACAGGAGAGTACAATAGTAATATATACAAAAATTTTCTGTTAAAATAAGTTTTTATTTATTTTTTCTAATGAAAAAGGATGTCGAATCTAGTTTTATGACATTACAACTTACTATAAAATTTTTAAAATTTTAACTCATAAATAAAATTTGATACAATTTACTTTGTGAATAACAACAATGCTTGGTGCAATTATTTGTACAACATTGACATTAGATATATAAGTATTGTCTAATAGAATTTATTCATAATTACTTGAAAATGAATCACATTGTTTTTTTCAGATCAACAATTGTATGATTTGAAGAAAGGATAAGACTACTGTATAGAGTTTAAAATTTATTTATTAAAAAAAAATGTTTTTTAACCATTAGATTTTAAGTGGTTAAATAAAAATAGTTAGATTTAAGTAGTTAAATATAAACAGTTAGATTTAAAATTAAACAAATTATTGGTCACTTGTCCTATAGGTTATCAAAAAATAAGCTATTTACTTTTCACCAAAATATCTAATTTATTTATCCAAAATAAGGATTTCAAATTTTAATAAAGAATTATAAATTTTTATTTATCTTGTTATTGAAATATTTATCATGTATTTATATAAAATTGAAGCTATATTATATATACATGAAACTTCATTAACGCTTCAAACATAATTCTGAATTAACTTTTATTACTTGTAGTAACAACAACAACAACAATAATAAAAGCTTTCCATAACTAAATAAAATAATTCAATATAATTCAAAATAATATATATTTAATGAGTAATATTCTAAAAAATATTAAGAAAACCTAGGATAAAACTATGACACAAAATATTAATATTTCGGTACCAATTAGCTATTAGATTCTAATATTTAAAAATTGACCACTACATTAAATAATAAATAACAACTACTTGCTGATTTTATAAATAAAATATTCCATCAAATTTGTAAAAAAAATAAAATATTTTTTTTATTTTTATTTTGATAAAAATTATTTCTTTTGCCAAAAGTAAAACATTTAAATTTTTATAAATACAATGCAATTGTAAGTATAATATAAAAAAGGTCAGTCTAGAAAATTCTTTTATATGTATAACTTCAGTAAATTAATTAAAAAAATTGTCTTATTGTAAGCCAAACTATATTGCATGTTAGATTAGCATTATTAATTAAATGATTTTAAAAAAAATTAATTAAATGGAACCGACTCACGCTCATTGTACAAAAACAATCCAACATATCTCATCCTCAAATTACTAGTTGAATCAGATTATCTTAGGTCTCGTTTGGTTCAAAATGATTGACTTACAGAGAAATATAATTTTCAAAAAATACACTTTCAAGGAAATTATTTCCTAGAAAGTATAATTTGTATGTGTTTGGTATGCAAATCAACTTCCAGAGAAGTGAATTGCTCTCAAACTATAAATTACAATGATATCCATAACATAAATTTGAGTGAATTAGATAATAAGATAAATTAGTAAATTCATTGCACTTAACTAGAGAAATGCAACTTCCCTATTCACACCTAAGGAATTTACTTCTCTTGTATAAGGAAAGTTGGATGATCTATTTCCCAGAAAGTAGAATTGATAATGCAAACCAAACACAAGCACGTTATACACTTCCCTAGTCTAGTTTGATAAGAATGTTGCAATCTCAAGAATTTCATTGTTCAAAGAGTTATAAGGATCATATTAAAGTAAGGTAAACTCTGATACCATGTTACAAATAAAATTTAATTTCATACCAAAAATTAGCTCAAGTGAAGGAGGATTACCCAAATCTTATATTTTGAATAAAGACTTTATTCCAAAACAATATGTGATAACATTTTTTTCCTTTTGCAAATTCTTAGATGTTAGTAGGAATAGTGATAAACCAGCATATAGGTTAGCTCATTATGCTGCTCTTAATACTGACATGGTAATCCAATTTTGGATAGACGAAATTCCTTCTCATGATCTTGTAATGGCTGATATAGCCTTTCTTAATTATTAATGCAAATCATTTATTTTTCCTAAAAAATATATATAATTCTGTATAATTAATTTAACACAATAATTCAATTAATTGACCATAATAATTTACTCAATTTGAAACATAATTAATCAAATTCCGTAATTCTGAACCTAATTTAAGTAATTCTAAAATAATTTATCGCTATGAATCCACAATTATGTATTTCTAATCAAAATTCGGCTAACTGAAAAATGATTTGATTTCTCAATTAAAGGATGAGACAAAAATAATGCTCTGATAAAAATTATTTACAAGTATAATGTAAAATGAAAATTATTTATAAATCTAATGTTTGTCCTGTCATGAAGAGAGAATGTTGCACTAAAATCACCAACTCAATTGGTGGTTTCAGTGCAATACAAAAAGTAATTTGTACTGACAAGTAGTCAGTAAAAAATAATTATAGAATAAATAATAATTTTTATTTTGTATTGAAATCACTAAATGAATTGACAATTTCAATATAAAATAAAAATTTTAAATTATCAAATGACTTTTCACTTAAGACACATCATTCATTTGGTGGTTTTAGCGTAAATATGAAATGTGACTGCTGGTTAATGAAACGTATACGAAAAAATTAATAATGTTTTGTTAAAAATCCACCAGATTAACTAATTATCTTAATAAAAAACATTTATTTACTCAAAATATTTTCATCAAAACACACCTCATTTCGCCCACTGCAAGCACCTTCAACATCGAAAATACTAATTTTGATTCTAAATAACTAATCAAATTGGATGCACAAAAATACTCAACTCGTTTGATTTATGATTATGTGCTCAACATCTAAAACCTCCATGTGAAAATTATCATCGAGTCTGATTGTCAGATGCTTGTTTGTGAACCATGTGCATGCTAAGGAAGCTCCAGTAACTGAGTTTGGAACGAGAATTCTTCAAATTCTCGCTTTGATCCAATGTTTTGTTTCTTTTCAATGTCTATTTGTTAGTAGGACCTGTAATAAACTAGCCCGTAAGCTAGCTCAGTATGCTCTCTCTTCTGTTAGTGAGGAGCAAATTTGGATGGAGGACATTCCTCATCTGTTTATTTCTTGCTTTGCCTGAGATAACCTCTATTATTCCTTAATGAAATTTCCCACTTTGATCTAAAAAAAAAAAAAAAAAAACCTGTCTATTATTCCTTAATGAAGATTTCCCACTTTGATCTAAAAAAAAAAAAAAAAAAAAAAAAAAACCTGAATTGGTGAAAAAAAAAAAAAAAAAAAAAAACCTGATTGTGAAAAGAACATTAGTAACTAATAACTTCTGTTGGTAAAATGTTGGTTGCTAATTATTTTCCAAGCAATGAAATATTTTGTCAGTAATTTTCAACAGAAATATATTGGTTCAGTCAAATAATTCTGTCGATAGAATAGGATTCCATCTGTTGGGAAATATGATGTTAATTTTTGTTGGCAATTAGTCTATATTGTATTAGTGTTTTAAAAAATTCTTAAGTAGACTCAGTCTACCAATCAGTTATAGACTCACCAAATGAAATAAAGTCACGTAGCTTGTTTTTTTCTAGCTTATTTCCTGTGAATTCTTTCATGTTTTCCATCTGGCTATAAATAAGAAAACATGTGTTTCCCATGTGGCTAGAAATAAAAAAACGTAATTTCATTGGTTAGCGAGTCATTACTAGGGAACGAAACAAAAGCAAGCTGATCATATGATTTTCTTTCATTTGATGAGTTTATAGCTGACATAGACTGAGTTGTCTACCTAAGAATTTCTCTGTGTTTTAGTTAGTATTTTATTAAAAATCCATCGTTATTAAAATAACTTGTTATTTTTAATTTTTAGAATTAAATTTTTTAGTCGGTAATTATAAAAATTCAATTTAAATTGTCAAATAAAACCTATAAAAACACTTATTTACAATTGTATTGTAAGAAAGCATCGAAACAGTCACAAAAATATACTGTAATAGCATTTATATAATAGAATCTATAATAATATTAAATATAAAATTATTCATATGGTGGTGATACTGTCCCTAATACAATTTCAAATAGTGATAAAAATCTCAAGGAGAACAATAAAGACTATAAAAAACTAAACTCTCAAAACTCCCAAATGAGGAGACAAACTTTGACTTCTAGGTACTAGCCAAATAGCCTTAAATGGAGCTTTTCATTAAGCTACAAATGGGTTATCTTCATCTCTCATAGAAATTTTTTGAGTCCATTTTGCTTTCATTGCAATCAGCAACAGAGTAGCAGTTTGGCAAGAAAGACCACAGATTAAGCCAATCCATAACCCCTGCACCAAATTGAATAGAGCATATAACTTAAATGAGAACATAAAATGTTGTTTCTAGTTCTACAAAGAAACAAACAAAGTTTCTAGCTTGCTTTACCTGGACATAAAGCTTCAATTTGAAACCAACAAGGCAAGCTATTGGCATGCCAATGAAATAAAATGTTGCCAAGTTACCATACACAGCCAAGTGCTGCCAACCACATCCTCTGGCCACTCCTACATGCATAATCAAAGTTTTACTTGATCAACGAGACAAAAATGTTCCGTAAAATTAACAGATTTGCTGGTTATTAGTTGTTTTAATGGTGTTTAGTTGTTAACTATTTGAGTAGCTTTCCATAAAACGCTAAAAACTAAATATTATGTGGATGAACTTTTTATAAAATGCTACCTTAATCTCTAAAAGTTTATTCAAACGCTATATTACTTAACACTATAAAAAATAGCGTTTAACATTTTGAGACCAATCGCTAAAAACTACCTAAAAAGCTGCTGCTGAATATATAGCCGTAAATGCATTAAAGACTAAGGCCCATTTTTTATTATTTATAATTAGTTTCATTTACCAAGATTTTAATTAACAATATATATGCATTAAAAGACTAAAGGCCATTTTTTATTTAATTTATAATTAGTTTCATTTACCAAAGATTTTAATTAACAATATATATAATATATATATATATATTATATATTCTTTAAATTGTAAATTATTGAATTTAGTTGATGTAGGAAAAAATAGCCTTAAAACTTTTTGTATTTTTTCGGTTATATAGATAAGCACATATATGTACACTAAGTTATATATATATTCTTTAATTAGTAAATTATTGAATTTAGGTTGATGTAGAAAAAAGACTAAACTTTTTGTATTTTTTCGGTTATATATATACACATATATGTACACTAAGTTTTTAGATAAAATAAAATTTAAACGTCTCTAAAATTGAACTCTGCGTGCAAAATACACGAAAGTTAAGTGAAGGATTCAAACCTGATAAGACGCCTTGAATAGAATCAAATGTGATAGAAACTGCAAGAAATGGTGCCATTGAAGCAAATTCCTTTATTATTGCATGGCTGTCACTAAACAAAGCAGCCCAAACATTGTGACCAAATGCTAGAGCCAAAACAACTATGAGGGCAAGAGAGACAGAGAGCTTGAGAGTCACAGCCATGGCTCCTTTAGCTCTGTTCGGATTGCCTGCTCCCAATTCATTAGAAACTCTTGTGCTGTCACAACAAAACATTAATTTAACTTGACATACAATAAAAAAACATGGGATTTAACAAATAATATATCAGCTAACCTTGCAGCAGCACTGAGACCATAGGTTAACATGTAGGCTATACTTTCTGTGTTTACACTGAATATTGAAAACCAGACAATTTAAAATAATTAGTAAATGACATTAAGAGAAAGAAACTAATGAAGCTATGGGTATATATATATGTATATATATAGCTCGATCTTATATGTGAACGAGCTTGTCAGCTATTAGATTTAAGATTTTATTGGGATCGTAGTATAATTTTAAAACTAATGGCTGACAAGCTCGTTCACATGTAAATCGAGTTTACAATAGTCAAATCCCACAAATATAATCCATATAGCAAGAAAATAAAGTAAAAGTACCATATGGCAATTAACGAAGTAGTTATCTTTGAGTTTGGCATTATTCCTGCTAGGAAAACCAGAATCTCAAAAGCCCAATACTCCAAACTTGAAAAGGCAAAGAGAAAAGAAAAATTAGATTTTTGAAGTTGAGATCATGAACTTAATTTGATCAAATAATGAAACGTTTCTAACTAACAGAGGAAACCCTTACCATACCATTGCCGCAGAAGGAAGAGCTAACTTGACATTAGTAAGAATATAATGAAACGTTTCAAATGAAAATCCATTCCAAGTATGCTCAAATTTCTTGGAAAAAATCAGATATGAGCCTAATAAAACAACTGAAAAACAATTTGAAACTGAAACTGCCATTGGAGCTCCCTTGAATCCGAGATTTGTATGGTGAACCAAAAGATAGGTAATACCAATATGAATGCATATTGGTATAAATGATAATATAACAAGAGGAATAGTTACAGATTGTGTTTGAAAAAACCTCAAGATGTTTTGTAGAACTCCAAATGCAAATAATCCTGGAATTAGATATTTCATATAGAGAGCAGCCATAGCTGAAATTTGAGGATCTTGATTTAATAAAAGCAAAATTGGCTCTGTATAAAACCATATTATAACTATAATCGTAGAGAAGAAGAATGATATTATGCAAGAAGCTTGTAGATAAATTCCCAGCATTCTATGCAATTTTGCACCAAAGCTTTGACCACATAGTGTTTCAAGTGCTCCACTTAATCCCGTCTGAAAACAAATAATAATAATGGCAAAATCATTAGAGAAAAAACATGAAAAAAAAGGCATAAAATGAAAAATACTTTTTTTTTAAATTTTTTTGGGAAATGAGAGCATTTTTGAGCATTTTACTAGAAAAAAAAATTTGTAAAATGATTATAAATATTTAAAACATTTCTATTATTATTGATTTGATCACAGGTGTGGCCATATAGACCAAGTCTAGACAAGATGTTTTCAAATTATAAGGAAAACTTAAATTCGTATTTTATTAATATAAAAAGATATATATTTCTGTGAGTGTTGAAGGAGCGAATTCGAACTATGTATTTATTGTTAGGTCATACATACACTTACCATTAGATTGTATTTTAGTGTCTAATATAAATTAAAAAAAATGTGTATTTTCTCTATTGCATATTTCTCAACAATATAAATATGTGATTTATCATAATTGATCCTATTGACAAATAATATAGAAAATGATTTCATTAAATTTATTTATTCATATTTACTAAAGGAAAAATCCTTCTTTTGGTACGAGGTTTCAAATAAACTATGGCCATATCACATGTAATAATAAAAATATTAAACTCAAAAAAAAAAGATAAAAAAATTCAACTGCTCATAAAATAACACATCAAAACTGATTGGACCGAGAGCCATTTTCTTCTAAAAAAAAAACCGATTGGCCCAATTGGAATATATATAAGCCACTTAAATTGAACTCCTCATCGGGGTTGTGATACACGTGTGGTGTAGACCACGGCAGAGCCATTCTTTATCTAAATATTTTTAAAACTCATAATTTTTTATCATTTTCAACAAAAATTAAAAATAAAAACATATCGAATAATAGAACACATTTGTTTTTATTTTTTTAAATGATTTTTCATGTTGGAACATATATTTCAAAAATGATTTTTCATGTTAAATTTAAATATAACACATGGTAATAAATACATATACAACCTGATAAACTATGTTCAAATTTTTTCTTTTAATGCTAGAAAAAGAAATATTTAGTAATTTTTTTATCAAGAAATTTGTAAATTTAATTAGAAATATCTATAATTTTCAAATCAAAAAATAAATATCATATAGTTTAATTTCTCATAATTTTTAGATAATTTAATTATATAATTTTTCATGAATATTATAAACATTTTTCAGAAAAGATCAAATCCTTTTGGTCCTTCGGAGGCCCGCCACTAAAGTCGACCACAAAGAAAGGCCATACCATATGAAACGGTCTTATTCGAAATATTAAGTTATAGTTTATTCTTGAATTGAAATAAGAAATTCAAACACAAATAATTCTTATAGAAAAAATATTATTGGACTTATGAATTTGTAAATGAAAGATTGAAATTCATGAGCAGAAGTTGAGTTACCATAAAAGCAAAGCCAGTGACGATGGCCCAGGAATTGGCAAGAGTGGCGCCGGCGAGCTCTAGCTCACCAAGGTGGCCGGCGAACATGACAGAAACCAAAGGTGTTAAGTAGTAGAAAACATTAGTAAGAATCATAGGCAAAGAAAACGAGATTTGGTTTTTGGCTTCTTTGACATCTAACACGTTATTATACCACCGCAAACACCACCTTCCCTTGCTTTCTTCTTGATCTTCACCGCTACTATTCGCTTCTGGACTAGCCTTTGGCAAAAGATTGATCTCTTCATCCCTTGGCTGCTTCTTGTCCATGTTCTTTAATTAGCTTGTAATATTTCTTGATTTTGTGGCGGAGATGATATTAGTGCTATCCTAATTATTTCTTGTTTTACCGGTTGGTCACCTCTCTGAAAAAGATGGTTGTTCTTTAAGAAGACGATCAATGTCTTCTCTGTAGATGAAAAACGCCACAGGCAACTCCTCTATTCCCCAAATGAGCTAATTCATGTCATAATGAAGTAAACAACAAATTATAAGTACATAACCTTCAAAAAAAAAAAAAAAAAAAAAAAAAGAGTGGACGTTCGTCCTCGACTTTAAAAAAAATGATTTTTACCGGTCTTTTAAATTTAATTTTCTACAATATAACTTCTAAAACCTATACTCTTTTCAATTTACTAATAATATGGAGAGGAGATTATTGACAAAAAAAAAAAAAAAAAGAATTGAAAAGCAATAAAAACATAACTTTTAAACAGAAAACCACGTTGGTTCTTAATATTTCGAAAAATCAAATAATTTTTAAGAAAATTTATAGAGCTCTATTAAATTATGCCTCCATTTTTGTTCCTTAACAGTTTGACAATAGGACATATAAAAAAAAAAAAAAAAAAGAAATTGAAAGCAATAAAATAATTTAACAGAAAACAACGTGGTTCTTAATATTTCGAAAATCAAATAATTTTTTAAAAAATTTAAGAGTTAAATTATGCTCCTTTTGTTCTAACAGTGACAAATAGACATTATATTATATTTTTTTAAAATAATTTATTTTTATATTTACATTTAAAATTGGCAATTTAGATATTATATTATATATTTTTTTATAAAATTAATGAATTCTAATTATTTTTTTATCACCGTAAATATTACTATTAGAACGGCACGGATAACATGGAAGGAGGGAGTAAGCCGATGACATCAATGCTATATTAAAACATGACTATCTAACCTTTGACTCAGAATAGTAGGCAGAGAGAGTTTTTCCACGTAATTAAAAAATATATATAAAGAGCGGTGGGCCAATGGAACGAAAAGCTTAATTAATGAAATTAAAGTCAAACTTTTCATATTTTAATTAATATAAAAAATTTGAATTTTTTTTCAAAATAAATATTTTTATATTTATAAAAACTCCTTTGAAATTTAATTATATTTAAAAAAATACATTAAACCAAGTTGAGCTCAGTATAACTTTCACTGTAGCAAATAAAAATATTTAAAATATATATTATGAATAAATTTATCTAATGAATTTATATGGACATTTTAAATATTTTATCCGGCTACGATCCAATTCGTGCCAACCCAACTTGCTATTTAGCAGGTTAACAATCTGTCAAAAAAATAGAAATGCTACCGTAGCACGGGAACTGACTTGTTGCAACTATTTGCGCAGAAAAACGGTGCAACCAACGATGTGCATTTCCAAGGATCTGCATGTAGATTCTAATATCTAAATTTATATATTCTCTGCCCATTTTTATTTTTAGTTTAAAATTTTTACATAATGATTAAAAAAATAATTTACTCATTTAAATTTACTATATTAATTAAGATTGAGAAGATAAAAATAATTTTACCAGCCAAAAAAAAAATTTATTAGTCATTAAATTTATAATTATATTTAGTTCAGTATAAATACATAAATAATATAATTCAACTTATCTCAATATAATTTTAAATAAAAGAAATCCTTGTTTTTAAACTTTTAAACAGAGAATTGCGAGGCCTTTTTCTCTTATATCCACACTGCACATCAACTGCTTGATAAAATTCCTGAAAGGACACGCAAGGCAAATTTTCAAGAATCTCAAAAGCCTTACTGTTCTCAATCTCCCCACTGAGAATCCAAATGACCTTTCCCAATTAGTAAAATGAGCTCATAAGATAAGGAAAGCCTATAAATAGAAAATTTCAGAAAAAAACGTGGAATATCTGTTCAGAATTGGGTCATCCGAGCCATTTGCCACAAAAGAAAACAAAAGCATTGGCGGCCAATTGCAATTTGCGAGGAGAAGACTCGCCATTCTCGTGCCATAGAGTGTTCTTGAAGATGGCTAACTGTTAATGATGATATGATCAAATCTATCTAATACGCGATGGACATACGACAAATATAAAGCTTTTAGAGCTCTCACAGTCATTTTGACCTTTCAAACATATACTAACCAGCCATAAATAAGACCGACATACATACCAAGACCAAGAAAAGGACTATGGTATGGGCTATATCTACTGAGCAGAATATACAGTCACATTCCATAACCATAAATTGGAACGTTCAAGAGCCATACTCATTACTTAAATTTTTTTAATGTTTTTTTTTTTTTTTTTTTATACATGGGAGGTCAATGGACCAAAAAAAAAACAATTTTCAATCTGTATTCTTTTTTTTCTTTTCATTTTTATCTATTTTTCTCTTATTGAAAGTTTCTTAGTTTCTTTTACTAATCCTTAAAACCTTCAATTTCTTATCTACACGACGATTATTTAACAACAGATAACAAAATTGGCAGAACAAACACGATTAAGTTGTGTGAAACTGTAATTAAACATTACAAAAAAAAAAAATAAAATAAAATGAATTAAACATTACAACTGACGTTGGTCCAATTGATGTTCAATAATTGTGGTAAAATCCTTCAATTCCCCCATTTAATTTGGGAGTATCCGGCCAATTAAGTTGTGGCATGATTGATCTTCTCACCTATGTAACGAGTGAGAGATCCAGAATTTAAGTCTCTTAACTATAATTGTTTTTACTAATTTGATAAGTCAAAGTGGAAAACTACCGCTTATTGTGTATATTTTCGGTCTATAAAAATGTGGGAGTATCCAAATGGACGGTGGCAATTGATTTCTTAAATGCATTATCTGATGAATTGGTGACCACCGAAATAATTTTCCCTCACTTTATGTATATGTTATCTATATGTTCAACCAACACATTTATGTAGTTGTCAGTTACACGACGAAAAAGAAAAAAAGAAACGATAAGAGGAACGAGAATTAAGGACAATAAATATTAGTTGTCTTCAAAAATTATAACTCCTTGGAATTAAGAGTAATTTTAAAAATTATTCTTATTCATGATAATAAGACACAAAAAAATTTGAGTTTGTCACGATATCTTACTCATATTTTAATTAGAAATTGAGATAACAGTTGCGCCAATAATAAAAGACAATTTACATCTCCAATACTAAAGACTATTGTCGTTAATTTTGGAAACCACTTATGTCTCATATGGAAGATGAAATCATTTATGTCTCCTGTACTAATAACAAATATTATCATAAATTTTGGAAATGATTGACGTTCTATAGAAAGGATACAACTTACATCTTATATATTAAGGACAATTATTATCATTAATTTTTAGGATGATTGACGTCCTATATATAAGAATACAACTTTTGTCTTATATACTAAGAATAATTATTGTCATCAATTTTGGGGACAACTGATGTCCCATACGGAGGGGATAACTTTTGTCTCATATACTCATAACAAGTAAGTTATATATTAAAACGGAGGGAAACTAATAATCAAATACGTCATTTGGTGGAATGGTTTGGAGAGTCGAAAATACTTTTAGGTTAAGTGTACTCACTTAAGAGAAATCCTATATAGTCTCGTATAGAGGGAATAAATATTGTCCATCGAAAAATGAACGATTTATTAAAAATCATCCACTTAACCAGCGTACCATATTCTATAGGGATGCTCAGGGACAATGCTAACTATCCCCAAAAGTATTGGAAACGATTTTAGATATCCTCTAATGTACTTTTTTTTGTAGTGTTATTTATGACTTATTTGAATTCCAAGTCAAACTTAAATTGTTTACAACAATTGGCCATTTCAGATGATTCAGTCCTTCCATGTCTTTTCTCCCAAATTCAATCCAAAATCAAAGAAATGTGAAGTCATAATAGATTATTATATCAAAAGCCGAAAATATTATTTTTATATTTTTACTTGGAAGAATTAAGATTTACTTGAGGGAAGAGATGAGAAGATAGATATGCTAAAGGAATAGAATTAGGGTAAGTTGTATCATTTCATATGCATTTAACGTCTAAAATTATAAAAACCTAACGGAATGACAGTTTAGTTTAATAGACTCGAAATATAAGAGTATAACAGTCTATTTTAAAAAAAAAAAAGAGTAAATTAATTTTATTTTTCTTACAAAACATAAGGTGGAGAGACTCAAACTCGAAATTTTTCACTCTTCACATCTTCTACAAGAAGCAAGAAGACAAACCGGATCACACCGATTGGCAACCATTTTGTTTATTATATTGCGGAAAAAATGGATTAAAACAGAAATTTCTGTAAGCACAGATAAAGAACGTACAGTTGTTGTCTAATTCTTGAGTGTTCATTAAAAATGGATTGAAGGAAAAGTGAAGATTGACAACTTTGTGATATATTCATATAATTTTGTTGGAAAATATATTTTTTGGTCCCTACAATTTAAAATTAGCTATTATAGTCCTATGGTCAATGAAAAATGTAAGATTTGATCTGGGACGATACTGTTATAAAATTTAATAATTTAAGGACTAAAGTACTTATGTTTAAATTTATATGACTAAATTGTGGTGTAATTTAAAATGCCAAACTAAATTGTGATTAAAGCAAATAATAAATTATAATGAAGGACTAAAATGATGAATCATTAACATTTCTCATATATACGAATTAAAATTACTAATTTTGAAACTGTAAGGATCAAAGTGTATATTAACAAATTGCAAGGAGTAGTTTGTAATTTAATATAATTTTATAAAATTTAGAAAAAATCATAATGTCATCTTCATATTTTACCAAAAGTTACTATCTTACCATTAAGTACCTTGTAAGAAGACGGACAACTTCTATAAGGTCTTATGAAATAAAGACTTGTGAAATTAGTTTCCAATTACCAACAAAGTGTCGATCAGGGTAACAAGTTCAATATCCTCTAGAAGCAATTAGTTTGACATTCAAAGAAAGCGTGAGGATGCTTCCTGAGAAAATCTAAGAACAAAATGTTGATATAAAAGAAAAAATAAAAAAATTTTACAAATTTTTTATTATGTGTAAATCTTCAATGCTCTCAAAAACAAAATCAGTCTTCGTAACTCTAGTTAAGCCGAGTCCTCATTTTCACGATCTCTATCCATAGACATAGCTATTCTAGTCCATTTTGTGCGTAGTGTAATCACCAAGAGAGTGCAGGATTGGCAGAAGAGACCACATATTAAACCAATCCACAATCCCTGCTCCAAAAATATATCAGAAAAGCAAGAAACACCAACAACACAGTGATCAAAAATCAAAACTATATGCATTGTTATTTAAATGTTTTTTTTTACCTTTGTGTAAAACTTGAACTTAAATCCAAGGATGATTGCAATTGGCATTCCAATTAAATAAAATGTTGCTAGATTTGCGATAACCGCGAGATGTTGCCAGCCACATCCTCTAGCCACACCTGCATTAGTACATGGACATCATAATCAACACAGAGGAGGGTAGAGCAGAGAACAAAAAATGAAGTTGGTAGGAACGAAAGCTTCCTTCTTTATCAATTAGGAGAAGGAAAATGCAAGCTCTACTCTAACCTGATAAAATGCCTTGAAAAGAATCGAGCGCGATTGAGGTTGCAAGAAAGGGTGTCAATGAGGCAAAAGCATGAATTATAGTAGAGCTACTGCTAAATAATCCAGCCCAGATATTATGACCAAAGATTAGAACCAAAACAATCAATAGAGCAAAAAGAACAGAGATCTTTAGAGTCTCGGCCATTGCATGTTTAGCTCGGTCTGGATTGTTTGCTCCCAACTCATTAGACACTCTTGTGCTATCAAAACAATTTTCTAATTTCAATATCCATATGATAAAATGTATAGCACATGCTGTTGCTGAGAATATACATCATACAATGCTGAATAATTAAATTCACCCCAATCTTTTGCATGACTTTTCAATTGTATCCTTTCTTTTCTGTGGATTGTATCCCAATTTAAAAACTTACTAAAATTATACCAAAGTTAAAGTTGAAAACAATTTAATATTACTTTTATATTAACCAAAAGAGTAAAAGGTTAAATTGGCCTTTAAATTTACTATATTGTCAATTGAGTCTCTAAATTCTTATTAGAGCTTATTTGACTTTCAACATTGAAAATTTAGTTACTTGCAACATTAATTTTATTGCTATAGTTTACGAAATTGGTAAAATTGGAGAGCAGAATTGAATCCAATCGAAATTCGGAAACTAAATCAACAAATAGGATATAGTTTAAAGGATGGATTTTTTTTTTTAAAAAAAAAAAAAATTGAAGGCTAGTTTAACATTTTTTCCCCTTCTAATCAATATGAAAAAAAACAGTAATGTTGTTTTTGTCATGGTTGATACTAAATTTCTAAATCGATGTAAATTTCCACACAAAAATATATAAAATAAAATTGAAAAAATGGGAAAAGATTGAAACAATTTAACCATTAGTCCTCTATGTAACAATAGAAAACGAGTAATTTCAAAAAAAAAAAAAAAAAAAATGTAAAACTTTGTTTCCCAATGGAACTAACCTCACAGCAGCACTGAGACCGTAAGCACTCATGAAAGCAACAGCTTCTGTGTTCACACTGAAGACATGAAACAATAAGACTACTAAACACAAAGGTCAAGCATCAAAAGACAAATTTAGAATAGACAAATGTGACTGTTTGGTATTTCTGTTTGAATTGCTGTTGAGAAAAACAATGTAAAAAATTTTTCATTAGAAACTATTAAAAATTGTTTTTCAGGGTGAAGCTAATAAGTTGTAATTAGTGCCCATCTAGCATTGCAATTAAGTTCTCTTTAGCTGATTACAATGTTTCAGGTTCAGCAACTCACCGTTTTCAAAAAAAAAAAAAAAAAAAATAGCTGCTCCGTTCTTTATCAATTAGTGACGAAGGAAAATGGCACAGCTTCTACTGCTCTAACCATGAATAAAAATGCAAGATCTTTTTTGCGAATTATAACAACTACGCCCGAGCCGCTGGACTTGTTGAGTTACTGCAATGGAGAGACTGGTGTTCAATGAGGGGCAAAGCGAAATGAATTTACTTTCTACACGAATTGCTATGCCTAATATACAGTAACCCATCTCTTCACCGGGAGCAATGTATTTAGTATTGTGATGCCAAGAAAGATTAGATACCAATCCAATCTACAAATAGTTATCAAAAAAAGAACCATCCGTAGACTTCTTGTACTCTTCTAACGTCGCAAGTCCTCAGCGCCCCATTGCCATGTCCTTTCTAGCCTCACGGTTCTGGGTTCATTGTTTCGCTCTCCCCAACTCATTAGGCACCACTCCTTGGCTATCCAAAACAATTTCCTTAATTTCCCCGAACGGCTCATCCCCATTAATCAGGATAACTACAATGAGATGCCAGTACCATATCCTGTTAATATAGCACATACCGCTGTTGCTAAAGAAGTATACATCGCATTACAATGCTGGAATAATTAAATTCACCCCAAATCTTTGCATAATGACTTTTCAATATGTATCCATTTCTTTTCTAGTGGAATTGATTAATCGCCAATTTAAAAACTTATATATATACGCAAAGTTATAAACGTTGAACAAAACAATTGAATAATTACTTATAAATTAACAAACAGAAGATAAAAGGAAATTGAGCCTTTAAATTATTACGATACTTGTCAAATTGAAGTCTCTAAATTCTTTATTAGAGCTTATTGAACTTACAATCATTTTGAACAATTTAAGTTTACTGCAACATTAATATCTGCCTATATATTTTACAAATATGGTTAAATTGGAAAGAGCAGAATTATTGAATCCAATTCGAAAATTCGGAAACTAAAATCAACATATAGGATTAATAGTTTTAAAGGATGGAATTTTTTTTTTTTTTAAAAAAAAAAAAAATTGGAGGCATAGATTTAAGCATTTTTCCCCTTACTATATCAATATGAAAAAAACAGTAATGCTTCTCTGTTTTTTTAAAGATGGTTGGATCACTAAAATTTACAATTAACTCGATGTACAATTTCCACACAAAAGTGATTATTAAAAATAAAAAATTAGAAAAAAATGGGAAAAGATTGAAAACAATTAACCATTCAGTCCTCTACTGTGAACAAATAAGAAAACAGACTAATTTCAAAAAAAAAAAAAAAAAAAAATGTTAAGACCATGACCGACTTCCCAATCCTGGAACTAACCTCACGAGCAGCACTGAGACCGTAGCACTCATGAAAAGCACACAGCTTCATGTGTTCACACTGTAAGAACATGAAACAATTAAGGACTACTAAAACAACGCTCTCAAGCATCGAAAAAGACAAATTTAGAATAGAAACAAAATGTGACTGTTGGATATTTCTGTCTCGAATTGCACACCTGTGAGATAGAAAACCAAATGTAAAAAAATTTATTCATTAGGAAACTATTAAACAATGTTTTTCAGGAAGTGAAGCTAATAAGTTGTAATTTAGTGCCCATTTCATGAGGCATGCAATTAACGATTCTCTTAGCTGATCTACCCAATGTTGGCGAGGTTCAGCACTCACCGTTTCAAAAAAAAAATAATAAAAACAAAGGACAAAACCAAAATAAAACTTAAAATGAAGAGCCGCCAGTTCTGAAATAACAATTACCCAACCTCAAATGCCAAATTGCACACTAATTAGAGCCATACTATAATAATGCATTGAAAGAGCAAAACTACCCATTAGCAATCATACGTCGATGTAGCTCACTTCTGAATTTCTTGCTAATCTAATTCCTGCTAGGCCAGCCGACCCAACAACAATAAACTCAGAACACAGTACTCCAAACTAACCAAAGAATAAACATAACTTAAAAGTTTTGTTAACTAATTCTTAGGAATGAACATTCCCAACTTGCAGAATAATCTAATATTGGATTTGAATCACTAACAAATTGCACTAGGAACCAATTAGAAAACAAAAAAAAAAAAAAAAAAAAAAGAAAACAAAATAAAATAAAATGAAAAGGCAGTTCTGAAAAACAATTCCCAACTCAATGCCAATTGCCAAATAGGCTCATACATATAATGCATTGAAGAGCAAAACCTACCACATAGCAATCAACGATGTAGTTACTTCTGAATTTTGCATCAATCCTGCTAGGAGCACCAAAATCTCAAAAGCACAGTACTCCAAACTAACAAAGAAAACAAATAAAAGTTGTAAAATTCTTAGGAATGGAAATCCATTGCATATCTATATATTGGATTTGAAACTAACAAATTGCAAAGAAATGAAAAAAGGTTATTGATAACGATTTTCTTACCATACCATTGCTGCAGAAGGCAAGGCAAGTTTCAAGTCTACAAGTATGTATTGAAAAGATTCGAGCGAAAATCCTTCCCATGTATGCTTAAATTTCTTATCATAAATAACATATAAAACCAAAGTAATGAATGATATCAACAATGAAACTGAAGCAGATACGGGCGCACCGATATAACCAAGAGATGTACAATTGACCAGTGCATAAGCCAAACCAATATGAATACAAGCTGGGATTCCAGACAAAAAAACAAGAGGCAAAACAACAGATTGTGTTTGAAGAAACCTCAGGATATTTTGCAGAAGGCCGTAAGCAAATAGTCCTGGAATAAGGTATCTTAAGTAAAGAGCAGCAGCTTTTGCAATTTGATGCTCTTGGTGAAGTAAGATTAGTATAGGTTCTGTGTAGATCCAAATGATGGATATGATAATAGAGAACATAATGGTTATTATAGAAGCTGCTTGTAAATATATTCCTAACATTCTGTATAGTTTCGCTCCAAATCCTTGACCACACAGTGTCTCAAGTGCGCCACTTAATCCTGTCTACATTTCAGAAGAGGAAATGGAAGAAAGTTAAATCTAAATTTGCCATTGGAACTAAGATACAGTAAAATTTGAGGGTTTTGATGGGCTAAAAATAGTACTTTCATGGATTCTCCAAACTTTATAGGGTAAAATTCTAATTTAAAAACCTTTGGTACCAACACTATTTTTAGTTATTGTTCACTTTTTTTCATAATTAAAAGACTATATTATCCTAATAATTTTTCAAAATACCAACACTATCCTCGTTTTTAAGGTAAAACTTCCAAACTAATTAATTCTCCAAAAATCATAATGAAATTATAAATTTGTGATCAAACCGTGTTGGTTTCATTTTAATTGCAACATTTGGTATTTTTATGAAAATTAAGAAAATAATTGAAATTCATTGATTTACTAAAAAAAGCACTGTACAATGTCTAAATTACAATTTCTAAATGTAAATATAAAAATAAATTACATCTAATGATTCGGATAAAGTTGGTAAAAATTAGTTATGTATTCTTAAAATCCTAAACTAGAAATTAAGGTGTAACAAGATAAAATGCCTATTTGTTGCTATTAAGGCGATCGGACATAGTATTTTTTTTTTTTTTCAAAAACTTCAATAAAATTCAAGAAAAAATTGAAATTTTTTTATTAATTTAAATTATATTAATCCATAAAAAAAAGCCACTTATCGAAAGACAGCCACAAACCAAAATCCATACCAAAAAACTAAAGTAGAACAAGTGGCTGAAAAGAAAAAAGGATAAAGCTGACAATTTTTTTCCAATTCTGTTGAATTTTTTGCACTTTATACGAAAAAAAAAATTATATGCTTTTAGTCTATAATTATTTGTCTCACAATGCAAAAAATCAAAATAAATGATTGAACAGAGAATTTAAACATTTTTGTTAGATAAAAAGTTCTGCAGAAAATCAGAGAGAGAGTACCGTAAAAGCGATGCCGGAGACGACGCACCAAGAGTTAGCGAGGGTGGCGCCGGCGAGCTGGAGCTCACCGAGTTGACCGGCGAACATGACGGAGACTAAAGGAATCAAGTAGTAGAAAGCATTAGTGAGGATCATGGGCAGAGCAAACAAGATTTGGTTCTTGACCTCTTGCAAATCCAATATTTTTTTCCACCATTCTTCATTATTGTTGTTGTTATTATTATTATTTTCTTCATCTCCGTCGATTCTTGGTACTAACAGTGGCTTCTCTTCTGCATTTGTATCTGATGACATCATCTCTCCCTAGCCTTCTTCTTCTATTCTCTTCTCTGCTCTTTACCTTTCGTATTTTTGTTTCTTCTGCTTTCTCTCACTTTATATATATGATGTCTCATGTTTTCCACGAGCTAAAGAAAACAAATTATTTTATGTTGTGTTTCTGAAATTTAAAAATAAAATACAAACTCGGAGCTACAGTTTTTGTTTTAATTTGATTTCTGTACAAATTAATAAATTTAATTACATTATAATTTTTACTTTTTTTCCTTTTTTTAACATATCCTTGTCTGAATATTTCGTTAAAATTTCATATTTAACTATTATTAAAATTAAATGCACTATAATTATTTACCAATAATCAAGGCAATCGGCTAATGTATAATTAGAAGATAGAATGTTGGTATTTTAATTTTGCTTTTTATTGAATTTAATTTAATTATAACATAGTATTTGACTAATATATTTATCGAGAAAAAATTAAATTAGGGTACTATAGTAAATTTTACTAAAAATAAATAGGACAATAGTTTAATATAGGATCAAAGGAGTACGAGAAATTCGATTTTATTTTATTTATCAATTTTGAGTTTAATACACTGAACATATATTTTAAATGATGAAAAAAAAATAAATTATTTATCAAATTGATATAATTTTGCAATTTTTTTTCAAAATATTATTGGGGGTTTTTAGCAATATAAGAAGAAAAAATATGAAATCGTTCAATTGTAAAAAAATTTCAAAAACGGAAATTAACGAGAAAAGAAACGAGAAACTACCTGCTCTGCTCCAAGCGATTTGAGAGCAGATGTTTTTATGTGGCTTTGCAATGCCTCTTCGTATCAAGCCACGTCATCTTAGCTACATTTTTTCTTTTTTTCTTCTCAAGTGCAACCTTTGTCTTCTTCTTTTATATACAATATTCTTTTTTGCATAATGCATACGTTACATGTTGTCTATGTTGATTGTATAGTTACTTTTTTATTTATATAATATTAAAATATAAGATTTATTTAAATTAAAATAAATATAAGTGATTAATTTGTAATACACTTTGCTATATAAACTATTTATAATACTATATTTTATGTACTTAATTTTATTTTATGTAATGAAGTACTCTCAGAATAATGTTCAACTAAATCTCTAAATCTAATCATTTAGTCTCTAATTTATAATTGCAGATTTTTAAAATTCTAATAGGTGCCTAAAAAGAAAATCACATCATCACTCAATCTCCAACCTCTACCTCAATTCCAAATCAATATCTATATAAGAAAAGAAAAGAAATGAGAAGCTGATCTGAATTGATAATGAAAATGACTTTAGCTACAGTAATAGTATTACTACTAAAAAAAAATATTAAGAAAATTAAAAATGTTTAATCATTAATAAGTATTTATTGCAAGTGAGAAAATAAAAAATTATTATTAAAAATAAAAATCTCTCAAAACATATTTAATAAAAAAATATTTCAATATACATAAATATATTAATGAAATATTATATATATTTTTAAATTAAAAATTTTAAATTATTTATCATTTATAATTTAATTATGTAAATTGTATTTGAAAATTTTACTTTATAAAAATTATATCTATTCAAATCTTACAAAGAGATTTGGTAATATATTAATGAACGAAACATGCGAACTGCCATTATTTTTTTTGAATATTAAATAATAATATAAACCTTTTCAATATTATTTGAAGCAGAGTAGACAATATAGTCAATTTTGAAGTTGCATTGAAGTTCCTTATAAGGCACACCAATTGTATTCTAAACCTAACTGAAAAACTTTACATTACGTGAAATTCTTAATTTAAACAATTTAATCAAAACCCTAATTTAAATATAAATTTAAAATCTTCTAATTGAAGTAATAAGAATTCCAAAGAATTGAACTTTATTAATTTATAGAAAACTTTCCTCCATAAAAATTGGATCAAATCTTTTGATTAAAAGTTTTAAATTAATTAAAATTCCTAATTTGAACGTTCTCTAAAAAAAATTTATACTTTCAGTATGATTAAGATCTTCTAAATTAATATAATAAGAATATGCATGAATTTAATTCATTTATGGAAATTTTAATTTTCCGTTTAAATAAAAGATTAATGAAAATTTTTTGTCAAGATTTTCAGTGTTCAGCTTATGAAATATTACTCCATCTGACATTTAATGAAATACTAATAAAACAGTCAATAGTTATTAGGACAACTAATAGATATTTTTTTAATTCATTAGAGCCTTTTATGAGCCGAATCAAATTAATGAAAATAACTGTGATCAAACTCGAGACCTTCTACTCCTTATATAAGTGAGAAGACTAATCAAACTATTATCTGATTGACAAAACAACTAATAGCCTACTAAAACAATCAAATTAATTTAACCGAATAAAACCTTGACGAAGAAGAGAGAGAGAGAGATGCAAAATCCATACGTAAAATGAAAATGACTTCTACTTAACTTAATATAAATCTGAACAAATTTAAATATAAAATAAATGCAAAATCCTTTAATTTGTTATGCATAGGATATTTTAATATATTTTTAATTTCACGAAAGGTATTCTTCACAATCCTAACTTTCTTCTCCCTATTCAAGTATTCATATTTTTATATGCCAGTTTTTGAAGACGTCATTTGATCGTTATTTGTGCTTAATACTTGTGATTTCGTATTTTTAATATAATAATTTTATATATTTAAATATAAGAATACACAATTAAATTTAAATATTAATCCTTAGAAATATTTTTTATAATTTAATATTGATATACTTTTTAAATATGATTTTTCTAATTTTTAATATTAAAAATATATAAATATTAGTTATCGTTATAACAATTGATTTATAAAAGTACTAGTCATTTAATGATGTAATTTAATAGGATTAAATTAAGTTCAAATATTAGTTTTTTTTTTTAATGTCATTTATAAAACTTTAACCCTTAAAATTTCTAATTTAGTTGGTAAGTTCAACTATTAGTTTAACAACACTTGGAGTTATGATATATTTCTTTTCCTAACCCAAAAGACTTTCTGAACTGGGAAAATGGAAAAAAGTGATTTCAAATATACAAGACATATATTGCAGAGGCGTGCGCGCGCATACATATATACATAGATGATAGATATGATATGATAAAACTTTTACAATAGGATTTTAATTTCTAAGAAAAATAAAATTTTATGGGATAAGAAAACTTCTCAATTAGATATATAATTTTGTATCATATTTATTAATATTTATAATATACATATAATATCAATTTCTATCACATATAATATGGACTTATGTACATGTATAATATTTTTTAATTGTTTTAAAAAAATTATTTCATAAATTTTAATTAAAGTAATTTTCTTGTTATAGAATCATCTTCCTAAAATAAAATTTATAATTACAATCTTTTGAAATAATAATTACTTGAATCCCATGATTATTTTTTTAAAAGTAAGCTCTATTTAGTTATTATATATATTAGGGAACATGTAAGCGATGGATATTAATTTTTTTAGTGGATCTTTAGATATTACAAAACTAGATTTGAATCCATGACTCTAGTGGGAGAAGAAGGAAATCAAGAAGAGAAGGGAAAATACGTCTTTTTCATCTAACATTTTCTCTCTAAATTGGAAGGATAATAGAAAAAAGGGTAATTACAGTAGATGTCATATTTTGAAACTTATGTTTAGAGAATATCAGTCTGACTTTTCAATTTAAATTATTGCCAGTTTAGGTTTATTTTTTACTTTTATGCCCTTTTTTATTTTGTTAGGAATTAGGTTTGTTAGTGAATCATTGTTTTAATTGCTTTGTATTTCCTTTTTTTATTAATTTTCTATTTTAATTATTAGTGTTTTAATTGTTTAATGTTTCCTTTTTTATTAATTTCCAATTTTAATTATCATTTCTTTTTTTAGTTTCTTTTCTTTTTCTGCTACCATCTTTTTGCGGCTTCCATTATTTTCAGCCTCATTCTTTCTTATTTTGTTGTCATCTATTATTTTCTTATCATTATTTGTCCTTTTGCTCTCGTTATATTCAGCTGCCAATTGTTTTTCTCATTGTTGATGTTGTTCCATGATTTCTTTTTGTTTTTCGGATTCTTTTTTTTTTTTTTTTTTTTTTAATTTAAATTTATTGCCAGCTCTTTTAGGTTTAATTCTATTTTAACTTCTTATGCCCTTTTTTATTTTGTTAGTAACTTAGGATTTTGTTTAGTGAATCATTGTTTTAATTGCTTTGTATTCCTTTTTTATACTTTTCTATTTTAATTATTAGTGTTTTAATTGTTAATGCTTATACCTTTTTATTTTAATTTCCAAATTTAAATTAATCCAATCTTTTTAGTTTCTTTTCTCTTTTCTGCTACCATGCTTTTTGCTGGCTCATTATCTTTCGCCTCATTCTTTCTTATTTTTGTTGTCATCTATATTTCTTATCATTATTGTGTCCTTTCTCTCAGTTATATCAGCTGCCAATTGTTTTTCTCATTGTTGATGTGTTACCATTGATTTCTTTTTGTTTTTGTCGGATTCTTTTTTTTTTTTTTTTTTTTGCTATCTTCATTTTTTGTTATGAGCGCGATTATCAGCGATATTAAGTTTGTTGTCGGAAAAAAATTTGTCACCGCCTTATGGAATTTGATCTCTGTAGAGACAAAGGTAGGACTCTGTAATTATTGTTTGAATTGGATACTGATACCAATATAATATAATATATATATACACACCACCGTATTTTACTTAGTCTAATATATATATGCTATTATTTTAATTGTTTTACAGTATGATTAACTACATAGTATATATATACACACTATATTTATCTGATAAGACTGATATAGAGCTATTAATATATATATATAATATATATATATATATATATTCTGTTATTTTTTAATTGATTTTATATATATATTCTGTATTTAATTGATTTTATAGTATTTATTGATACAGTGTGTGCATTATATTTATTAATACAGTATATACACTATATATATCGTGTATGTCTTATCTACCGTCGTTGTGATCGTCGCCGCAGGTCGTCATCCTCCTTGTTGAATCACATAAATTGCATAGGGATTTGCTTTTATAA